ACAGGAAAGATACGTTGCAGTGAGGATGTGACAGTAACCGAGATGCAAGGTCAAAACTGATAATGTTGCAGATTCTTCTTTAGATTTTGTCAAGAATTACTAGATATATGGCAGAAGCACCAGACCAGCACATTTTTTAATATAATTTTTCAACTTCATCCGGTATAGACAAACAAAATTATTTTCCTAATGTCGTCCGTGGATTATACAAGTACTATACAACACGAGTTAAACTGGCAATCAAAATATATCTGCCATTAAGGAAAACTCAATACTAAACAATGAATTTATTAATCTTTCCTTTAAAACGATGTACACAGAAGAACAAGGAACAAGGATGGGCAATGTTCAAACTTTAATCTTAGTTTTAAAATAAAAGGATTATATTAAAAAATATAGTTGATAAAGACGGTTAAAGAAAACTTGTCGGTGTTTTAATCCACAACTTTCTAAAGCCGATGTTTTAAACGACGTCTTTTTCTCATATATATAAACATAGTATCGTTATCTGGAAAACAAATTAGACTATATAGTTATTTTTTAAGCTGTAATCTTGAAATATTTCACTGAAATTTATTCTAAGAACAATGTTTATGGATCAATTCTTTAGTCATATTCAAAATGCCTTGGAAATTACTACAGAAGGGTCCGAAAAGATTGGGAATAGACACTACGGACAATTTTTATGGACGAATTCTTTAGTCATTTAAAAAATGTCTTGAAAATGGCTCAAAAAGTGTCCGAAAAGGTTGAGAAAATAGACACAACGGATAAGTTTATGGACGAATTTTTTAGTCATTTTAAAAATGCCTTGAAAATGGCCAAAAAAGTGTCCGAAATGGTTGGTAAAATAGACACAACGGATAAGTGTATGGACGAATTTTTAGTCATTTTAAAAATGCCTAGAAAATGGCTAAAAAAGTGTCCAAAAAGATTGAGAAAATAGTCACTACTGATAATGTTTAAATTCCCTTATCTCCACCTAACGGAAACATTTAAGAATACTAGAAAAACTCAATAAAAAAATATCAAATATTACAGATTATATATATTTTTATCAAACTATTTAATATTTTTAATTTATTCGTTGTATCTTTGGAGATCAATAATCGATGCTGATATCAAAATTCCTGTAAACATTTTTTTTTTAATTACAATATTTCCTCTTTTTTCACTTCTTGAAGCTTTGTCGATCTCATCCATTTAAGACTTCATGTTTTCACCATCTTACTTTTACTTTTCCCCGTCGTCTTTCTTGGAATAGGTGTTTGTTTTTGTTTTTTCGACACGCACCATTTTCTCAGCAATTTTTTCTTCGATCCACCTTTAAGAGTGAAACCGTAGATGATAGTGCTGCAACTGATTATTCGCCTATGCCTCATCCCTTTCCTGCTGCAACAGACGCTGTGGGCGCAGTTGCCTCTTCGTTATTGTTGTTGTTTGAGCGGAAGCAAACACTATACGAAACAAAAATTGCGGCTCCAACAGATGGCCGACAGCACACTGAACTCAATTTTATTTTTAAAAAGGCAGAGACAAGTAAGCGAATTAGCACTAAAACAATTATTGTTTTATTTAATCAACTGATTCTGTGCAAGTGGGATTGCGTAGCAGTGTCTGTAATGATGCGATGACTCATACACTGTTTCTTCAAACTAAAAGCATATATTACAGTCTGAGATATTTTAGTGTCCATGAGAAAGAACAAGGAACAAATTATTAAGTGATACTGCATTGCAATGATATATGAATGTTTATGTCCATTCATTATATATCCAGTATTACTACGAATAAACACACACACACACACACACATATATATATATATATATATATATATATATATATATATATATATATATATATATATATATATATATATATTGGTTATGTAACTACAACACTAGCATTTCGAATAACATGCTATTTATACGATAGTAAGTCCATATCACTGCTCTAAAAAGAAAGTCTTACTCCGAACAATATCACAGAGACAATTGATCAATATTTGAAGCTATAAATATTAAAAATAAGAATAATATATTATTTAACCCAAGAACGCTTATTTTAAATATCTTATAATAAACAAAAAATACTATGATGATGATAGATTTTCAATCCCTTTGCGTGTTGCGTCAGAACTCATTTCTCACTGTCTCTCTCTCTCTATATATATGATTTCTCTCTCTCACTATATATATATATATATATATATATATATATATGATTTGTTTATTTTATTTTACATACTTTTAGAAGTGTTTTGTAATATAAAAGTTTTCAAACTACATATGAGAATTAAAAATGAATAGGAAAACATTTTCTTCTCCTTCTTCTTCTTCTTCCTCCTTCTTCTTCTTCTTCTTCTTCTTCTCTACGCTTTCTCTTTCAGTAGGTGGAGGATTATGGCACTCCACAATTTTCTGTCCTTTTTAGTACATTTTATCTTTTCCTTATCTCTCCTAATCCCTGTTCTTCCAACCATTTGCGCAAGCTCATTAGGCAGGTTATACGATGCTCCCAATCTCTCTTTCGCGCTTTAGTGGCTTAAATAAATTATGTGAGTGTCAAATCCACTATCCACTACCCCACCGTGCCTCCTTTTTTAGGGAAATTAAAACCCGCAATATCACCATATATCCCCAACTGGCATAAAACATGTACATATTTGTCAAGTAATGAATGCTTATGAAAAAAAATGCAATAATATTTAACAGGTTATTTTTATATCTCAAGGATATTTTGTTTTGTAACCGATATCGGAAAATATTGATGACACCAATCTTAAACCCAGCCGGAATGTTAAGTCTTATTGGTTTCAATAAGAACAAACTGGCTACTGATCTAAAAAATGACCTTCAATCTCTTGTTATCTGGGACAAGAGATGGTTTGTTAATTTTAATACCTCCAAGACGAAATCGCCCTCGTTTAATCGTCTTATAGAATCTTTTATACCCTCCATATTTATGGATGGTGCTAACCTCCAAGACAGTGTTACATTGATTATATTGAATCAAGTGATAGAAAAGTTGTTTCTCTCTATCCTGCTATGGAAATGTTATCACCAGAATCTATTACACATATATATGTCAACCATTGGTCCAGGCTTTGAACATTGCTGTCACATTTGGTCATTGCTTCTGCTATGTATATAGAGATACTTGACAAAATCCCCCCCCCCAAAAAAAACTTCTACAATTTTATTGGTCCTGACCTGCATCTTGGATCCAATCACTTTCCCACGGCTTTAACGTGGCTTCACTGTGATTTTTTTTCTATAAATATTTTCATAGTGATTGTTCTGATGAACTTTTTCTTTGTTTTTTACGTACGCTGTTTATATGCATTCGTATGTGTGTGCGTGAGTGTGTTTGGGTTTTTATATATACGCTCATATATGTCGTTTATACGCTCACACAAGCAGTGTTTATCTGAATCTGTGTGATTTACGAAAATATATTTTACAGTAAATATGACAAAGCCGTTTGGATATTTTAACCAATCCTTCAGAGTAACAGAATTTTGTTTTGTCTTCGCTTAGCCAAGTAAATCTCTTCACAGACTCTGTCAACTCTACCGAAGAAAGTCTTTGTGAGGACATATGAAAGGGCAGAAATTCTTTTATATAATCTGTTATAGCGCAACGTCATACATTCAAGTACTCGCATATTTCATGATTTACTGTTTGCATACGAGTTGCACCAAACAGTCGAGATAAAAAAAACGAACTCTCACTTTGTGCGTGTAAGACCTGTGTGTATTTGCATGTATATATGAAAATCTATGCTTGTGTCCGTGCGTCTGTATGTACTCGCGTTTTGGAAACGATCGTAATGGATGGAAATCCTTTGTTGAAAGATTTCCAGTTGTCTATAACTGCATTTGTAGACTGACTTCTACTTTCACTTTCACTTTCGTTTGGGCATAGATTTTCTTTATTTCTCTCTGTGCATTTTATTTGTTTTTTTCTTTCTTTCTTTTGTTTTGTTCATTGTTTTATTTTTAGAATTCGAAAAATCAATTTCTGCTCGTGAAGCAATCCACTATTCCACAGCCAGAGACACAACTTAAATATACAATCAGATATGCAATGAGATATACAAATATAACAAGGCAAAGACAGATTGAACGAGAAAGTAGATTGAAATGCATAAAAAAATGTGTAAATATAAACGCACAAGAATAGATCTGTTGATGTTTTCAGCTGAACGAACGTGATGTTTTAACAATTTTCCTTAACAATTTAAAGTTACCCATCGAAACGAAATATTTTTATGGCGTTCTGAGCTGTTCCGTTATTTTAAACGGTCAAACTTGTTCTATAACGAGCCCTCTTTGGAAACATACGAGTTTTATGCATTTCAACTCAGTTTTGGGTTTTTTATATATTTTTTCAAGAATATTTCTTGTCAAAAGGGGTGGAATTTTTTAATTCATGGATCAGTGCTTCTAATCCCTTCTTAGGCCAAATTGTAATCTTTAATTCATTATAATTTCTCCTCATATATATAATGCATTTTTCTTGTTACTCGATCAACGAAACTATAGAGTATTTGCTAAGACTTAACATCAAAATTTACAGGAGAATCAGATTATGATATAATTTTACTGAGAGAGGATTTTTTTTTTGTATACTGAATAAATATGGCAGCATGATCAGATTATTTTCTTCAGTTTAACTTGTTTTTTCTTTTCATATAATTTTTACCGCGGCACTATTATTTTGTTTATAGATTATTTAAAAAAATTCCTGCATGTTTATTTCATAAGTTGAAATATTGACACAGGTGTGGGTCATGGCAGGCAGTGCATGTATTTGTTCCGTCAGATGACGAACAGGGAACGCATGAGTGTACAAAAAATATCCCACTCCCCATTATTACGAAGTGGGACTAAAAACAAAGGCAGAAAATACATACTTTGTGATGTCTATCATTCTATATGGCTGCAAAAGAAATCATCGCTAAATAAAATAAAAAATCAAGCTATCAAAATAGACTTTAATCGATGAGTGCTGGGCAGAGTATTTAACAAAGAAGAAATCCAAAAGGAGTATAGGAAAAACAAGTGAGTATAGGCGATAGTATAAAGAACAATAGGAGAGATAAAGGAGTTAAGGTGAGAAAAAGGAATGCAGGAAAGAGAATGAAGGAGTAAAGGAGAGAGAAAAGTGTATAGGAAAAGAAAAAGGAGTATATGCAAGAAAAAGGGGAAAGAGTTATAAAGAGGATAGGAGAGAGTAATCAGTGTGGAATAGTGTAAAAACGAGTATGGGGGCGAGAAATTAGTGTAGGGAAGAGAAAGAAGGAGTATAGGAGAGCGAAATAAGTGTAGGAGCGTACTAAACAGTGTAAATTTGATAATTTATCAATAATATGCACTCGAGGCAATAATATCGATATTGTTCAACCTTCGAAAACGGCAAAATATTAGAAGCTGGAAAAACTCATTGAAAGTTCGCTATCAAACACACACACACACACACACACACACACACACACACATATATATATATATATATATATATATATATATATATATGTATGTATATATATATGTATATATATATATAGGTGTGTGTCTACATGTGTGTGTCTATGTGTCTATACGTTTATATTTTGTGTGTATATGAGTGTGTGCATATATATGTATATATGTATGTATGTATATATATATGTATATATATATAGGTGTGTCTACATGTGTGTGTCTATGTGTCTATGCGTTTATATTTTGTGTGTGTATATGAGTGTGTGCATATATATATGTATGTATGTATATATATATGTATATATATAGGTGTGTGTCTACATGTGTGTGTCTATGTGTCTATGCGTTTATATTTTGTGTGTGTATATGAGTGTGTGCATATATATGTATGTATGTATGTATATATATATATGTATATATATAGGTGTGTGTCTACATGTGTGTGTCTATGTGTCTATGCGTTTATATTTTGTGTGTGTATATGAGTGTGTGCATATATATGTATGTATGTATGGATATATATATGTATATATATAGGTGTGTGTCTACATGTGTGTCTAGCGTTTATATTTTGTGTGTGTATATGAGTGTGTGCATATATATGTATGTATGTATGTATGTATATATATATATGTATATATATAGATGTGTGTCTACATGTGTGTGTCTATGTGTCTATGCGTTTATATTTTGTGTGTATATGAGTGTGCATATATATGTATGTATGTATGTATATATATATATGTATATATAGGTGTGTGTCTACATGTGTGTGTCTAGCGTTTATATTTTGTGTGTGTATATGAGTGTGTGCATATATATGTATGTATGTATATATATATATGTATATATATAGGTGTGTGTCTACATGTGTGTGTCTAGCGTTTATATTTTGTGTGTGTATATGAGTGTGTGCATATATATGTATGTATATATATATATATATATATATATAGGTGTGTGTCTACATGTGTGTGTCTATGTGTCGATGCGTTTATATTTTGTGTGTGTATATGAGTGTGTGCATATATATGTATGTATGTATGTATATATATATATATATATATATGTATATATATAGGTGTGTGTCTACATGTGTGTGTCTCTGTGTCTATGCGTTTATATTTTATGTGTGTATATGAGTGTGTGCATATATGTGTTTATGTGTATGTGTGTATATATGCGCGTGTATGTCTCTGTGTGACTGCGTGTATTTCATATCCTTTGTCCTATTATTCTTTATAAATATATATATATATATATATATATATATATATATATATATGTTTACAGATGAATATATATATATATATATATATATATATATATATATATATATATATATATATATATATTCATTCATATATTCCCCTTCTTTCTAGCGAATGCTCCTTGTATTTCCTACAATTTCTCCTTCTTTTCCATTCATTATATATTTCGTTTTTCCCTCATTAGAACTTGCTTACATCGGTTTTTCCACCATTTTCTCCGCCATTTTCTTAACCATCCCAAAACTAAATTCTGCATTACAGAACTCGCAAAAGAAGAAAAACGCATATCGAATTTATACCGGACATATAATTCACCCTGTATTTCTTTCCCCAATCGAATTAGCACTCTGAAAAAAATAAAATATGCTTCCATGAAACATTATTGGTTGTCATATTTGGTAGTGGGGTCTGACCTTGAACACAAAGTAGCGATAGAATATAAAAAACAGCTAAAATTTACAAAGGAATGTTTTTATACTGACTCCCATGAATTATTTCACTGAACCTGTTATATTTAGTGCTCTTAGGAATTGTCTTATTCTCCTCCACCGTAGCTATATGTAAATAGTCGTACAGAGGGTTTCTATGAGCTTGGGTGGCTAAAAGTCTAGAAGGACAACTTTCCATACAAAACCTGCGAAGGGTCATTTGGAAACATGGTAGCATACTGTGCAATAGTTCTCTGAATTCGGCTCTTCCAAAAAAAAGTGTGGGTGGTTCTGTACAAGACTTCACTGC